TCAAAGAGAAAACCCTAAGTCCTCATCTCCCCCCGCCCGCTTCCGCTTCTCCTCCCCTCCCCCAGGCACCCGTCTCAACCCCTCACCCCCTCACCCCGCCCCCCCTCAAGCCCCCCGGCCGAGGCCCCGCGGCCCCGCGGTAGGAGGTGTGTTCCGCGGATCCATAAAACACACCTCCTACCCCCCCTTTGCATCGCAAGTGGACTCCCGAATGCAGACATACACACATACATACAGGAACAGCCGCCAGGCTCAGCGAACCTTATGACATACAACATACAAACATCCAAACACACACATCTCCACTCGCCCCTCCCCACCTCCTCCCCACCTCCTCCCCACCTCAACCCCACCTCCTCCCCACCTCCTCCCCACCTCCCCCCACCGCAACCGACTCCACTCACCGAATGCTGAGGATCTGTCCCAGCTTTATGAAGGTGGGTCCAAGCTTCTCCAAGTTGTCCACTGCCTCGCGGGCCAGAGCGGCTCGGTCCCTTTCCAGGCGGCCGGACAGAACCGCATTGGCCAGCTTGGTCAGCCAGGGGGCTGCGGTGTGGGAGTGGAAGAGGGGAATGGGAGTGGGTGTGGGAGAGGGTGTGGGTGTGGGTGTGGGAGAGGGTGTGGGTGTGGGTGTGGGAGAGGGAGAGGGGAATGTGAAAGGGGTGTGAGGGGAGGGGGAGAGAAACGAAAACTTTACGGGGAAGCACTCTCTCCATATTGCCCCCTCCCTTCGTTACGCCACCAGGGGAGTTCCCTTCCCCCCCCAACCTTTTGGTGATGATTGCTCCGTCACTGCTTTCCACTGCTCCTGCTACGGCAGCTGGTACTTCCGGTGTGTCGACACAAAGCCGATGCTTTGGGACTTTTGCTGCACCATCATAATACATTCCATATACTCACTTCACATCCATGTATCCACCTTCACCTTCACCTTCTCGTTATGCAGGCACGTACGTGACCCCCATCACCCCCACCGACAGCACAGCCATTCCTTCTTCTCCTTCCTCTTCTCCTTCCTCTTCTTCTTGTCTCCTTCTTATTCTTGCATGTAATTCCCCTCTTCCCCCCTCTTTCTCCCCCCCCCCCGGGCCCCACTTTCCCTCCCAAACCCCGCACCCTACCCGACACGGCCGCGAACTTGGTCCACCTGCCCGCCAGCTCCCCCGGCCGCCCCCCCCAGTAGCCGGCGATGCGCTCCTCGTTATACACCAGCGGCAACCCGTCGGCGTCCACTTCGTCAGGGTCGAAGTCCGCAGCGTCCAGTCGGCGACGAGACACGTACGACACGCTCTGTGGCGCGGGGGGGGGAGAAAGCGGCAAAGGCAGGGTTGTGACGGCGGCGCTCGAGCCCTCGCGCGCGAGAGAAATGAAAACTACTTGGCATGGCGTTTTCTTACACAGGATTGTGCGTAGTTACATACGTGTATAAGGGGGGAGAGATGCGGAGAGAGAATTCGTAGGGACGAAGCATGAGATGGTTCCAAAGCTGCGGTAAGACCGTGATGTGAAGTGTGGATGGACGACAGGCACAGGAGCTCTGACCGTCGTGTCGCCTAGCCCCTCACAGCATTTTTCATCTTCCCTCCCCAAAGGTCTGTCTCCTCCCAAAGCCATGCATAGTTCCAGATTTACGGAAGGCGATTTGGGTCGCGCTGGAGATGGCGTCGCTCGCTGAGGAAGGTTTGGGGGCCGGTGCAATGGAGCTGACTGCTGACTGGTAAGGAAACAGAGAGGAAAGGAGAGAGAGATAACGAGGGACAGAGGGAGAGAAGCTGCTTGTGTCACGTCTCCCTCGACTCGCGCGGTGAAAGGTGGTTACAGGCGAGGGGAAGAGTGGGCGTCAGCCATCCGTCATTGTCTGACCAATCCTCACCCGCACATCGCGAAGCTGCAGGTCACGCAGCTCGGAGGATTCAACGCCTAGGTCCTTAAGTTCGCGTATGTCCTCAAGGCGGGTACTCATGCCAGGGACTGGAATGCCCCGTGTTCGCGTCGTGGTAGCTGATGCCATGACGCTCCGACGAGGTCCCCTCGCGGCTTGTGGCAATGGTGCAGCAGCACCACGCAGCTCGGCAACATGCGGGACATATATTCCTAAGGTGGGAGCATTTGCCAGCCGTGAATACATACTCATATGAGTACAACTTAACCGGGGAAGCATACAAACTCCTTCCTATGTTTTCTTTGCAAAGACGATAAAACGAAATAGGTTTGTATTCATAATTGTCTATGCTGAAGGTCACGGTGATTACATGGCGTCGAACAGTTTGTACGGTGAGACGAGTGGCTCTGGGTAAGTGCGAAGGCAACACCCATCTAAAAGTCTGAAGCAATGTGGCAACATCTGTTAAGCAATCTGTCTTTGACTTTACATTTGTGGCCTTCCTTGGCGAACTCCTTATTGCTGGGCTCTGCAACACACTATCCGCCAACGACTCCGCTAAGGAAAGCATCGCGCCTCGCTGCTCCAACGCCCAGGCAAAATAACAACACAACAAACCGACCATTGGACAATTGGAAGTCGCTGGACGCGACTGATAGGCGATAATGCTGCCACTTGACGGCATTCTTGCAGAACCGCTCATCATGTTGAGCGCGACGACATTTTCTGTTTTGCGCTTCATCCGGCGGCCATGCGCGACGCGCTAAAACACTAAGCGGATCGTCTACCCGCACACGCGTTTGATTCTGCACTTGGCGACAACTTTCTCGTTTGGGGCACCAGCTTACACTTTTGAGAAGTATCATGCATGGCGAATAATTGGCCGGCAAACCCGCAGAACGACCTGCCCCTATCCGTGATTCGGCTGTCGGAAGGGTACCAGCGTTATGGCGCATAGCCGCAACCCACGCTAGCCGGATGGCCACAACTTCCGGTGTAATGTGTTGGTGAACCTGGTCGACCTCATCTCCATTATCCCACTGATGCGGGCGTCAGGCAGCCCCAAAGAGCCCCTTCGCCATCGCTTTCATATGTGGCACTCTTCTCTCCTCCACAACCTCTCACACCTTTCCTTTCCAAAGAGCAAAACCACAAGCAGGCCCAAGCACAATCAATGCCTCGCCTTGTCGTCCGGCGGACTCCAGCTGTTAGACCTCCTGTAGGATATCCGCAGACGGCTCCAACCACAGTCCCACCAGTCGCCGTTACCCAGCAGCGCCTTTGCGACTCCACTGCTTCTCCTCAATTTCGACCGCAACCTCAGCGACCTCTATTTAGGAAGGGGCTGTGCCTCCCTCCCCCTCCTCACGTATCAGCACCACACGTCTGTGGTTCTTCTTCCGCCCTCCTCCTCCTCTTCCTCCTCTGTTCTAATCTAATTACCTACTTTACCTCACCCAACAACACAAAGCCTCAATAACAATCGTTTTGCTAAATATAAACCCTGTCTTCCCATTCCTTGGCAGCGCACAAACGCACATGCGCACATATCGAGGCCCTCAGTTCATCTGTACGCACTTCAAAATTCAAAACTCCACCACCCGTAATCGCATCTTTATTCACCGCCCCATGGATACTTCCCCCTCCAAACATCAAAATCGATGCTCCTCCACAAAAAGCCCACAAGCCTTTTTACTCGGCGCGCCGGACAATGATCTGACCCACCATCGCGTCATGTCCCTTAACGGTGCAGCGCAGAGGGTACTTTCCGGGCTTCATGGGAATGAAGACCCAGGTAGCGGAGGCGCCCGCCTTCAGCGCCACCTCCTGAATCCCTCCCTTGACCTCCACCGCCGGATCTCCAGCTAGGACTAAGATCGAGAAAACCTGGTGAAATACAGCAGGGGATTGTATCACACGCGCGACCAGGGAACGCGACCGAGGGGGAGAGATGGAGCCGCTTTTAGAGTCCCACCGGTAACCAGCGGCGCGGCGTGGTGAAAGCATCATCAGCAGCGGGTGAGTGCGGCAAGAGTGTGGAGTACGGCGATATAGCTAAGTGAAGGCGAGGTATGACAAGAGCTAAGTTGGGTCAAGCGGTTAAAGCTTGTTTAGCAAGTAATTGTGCTCTTTAAGGGGAGTACTATAGAAAAAGCAATAGAATTAGGAAACTGCAAAAGGAGAATAGTTGAGGAGGACATGGGAGCCCAGCAAGGTGCAACGCGGGGGTACACGCGGGGCTGCAAATGTCTAACTTATTGGCCTCGATGCCGTTTTCGCAGCAGCCATCAGTTGCAAAGCCGCCTCCGGAGCGGTGAAACCTGTCTTTTGTACCTTTTCCGCAAATTCAAAAGCGGTAAAGTAGTGTGTGGAAGTTGACGGGTTTCTGAGCTTGAGCTTGCAGATCCTGCCCGCGGTGAACTCCAAAGTGTTGGGGATAAATACGTATTGACCGTCTTCCGTGCCGAGCTGTACGGCAACCTCCTCGATGGGAGCGTTGGGGTCAAGGTTGTAGTCTTTCAGAGCTGCCCATGCTGAGCTCGGCGCAACCATCTCGACGATACCGGTCGCCGTCAAGGCCAGGGTGCTACCAGCCAGCAATCCGAGCGTCTGGCGGCGACTCTTGGCTTCACCACTTAATGGAACAGAGTCGCGCTTCACCTCGGGAGTAGGGGTCGAAAGGGCATCCCCTCCGAGGCCCGCACACGGTTGTGCGGGAAACGGACGTTGATAAGTGAAACGTAAACTACAAGAGGAACTATGGAATGACCGGCTGTTGTAGATCCTGCGGCATTGTTGGATGCGGGCACGACCGCTGACTGCTTGCATGCTTACAGCTTATGGAGACAACGAGGAAAGTTGCCCTGAAGAGCAATCAAAACAGACGTTTGCTCTGAAAATTTAGGAATACCCATAACGGCATGGGTGCGTGCATGAAACGATGAAGAAATGTCTCGGAAATGTACGGTGGCAGTTGCTTGTTCCGAAACTAATCAAAAAGGTCTAGTATGTCACGTCGTCGATTAAAACGTTTCTGGTGTACATGCAGCATCCCAAATCTATTCTCAGATTAGGCCATTTGGCCTAAATCGACCTTGTGCACAATCTGCAAGTAAATTCTGCGCAGGACGACAACTTGCTCCGTTGATGTCGTGACTATGTATGGTCGCTTGATCATGCTTATCCTTGTGTCCAACTGTCCAAGGCAGCATAACGCGTCAATCCCCTAAGGAGCAGATCCAGCAGTTAGCCGCACATTAACCTAAAGTATTCAATTGAATGTTGGGGATACTAAGTAGTATCTTCCAACAGCCAAACGAACTGGACCCATCGGACATGCAGGGGCCCACGGGCCAGTTTGCTTCGCAAATTTCAAGGGCGCTTGTGGTAATCATTATACGCCTCCGGCATAATAAAGAAAATGCTGCTAAGAAAACCTGCTTCAGTCGAAAGCAAATTTGAAAAGGTTACCAGCAGGGCCATAAAGCAACACCTTTGACCGGGAACGTCACCTCCTCGGGCCTGAGACGCACACTCGCAGCACGTGCGGCTGCGGCGTTATCCCGCTCATAAGACATAAGAAATATCCTCTTGGCCCTCCTCTTGCCTGACAACCCTCCCGCATATCAGAACATGCCCACCTAGAGGACACCTTGCTGTGAACTGTTTGCGTGAAGGCCCTAAAAGGCGCACAAGTTTCCTCCCTGATCTCCACCAACTTGCCTGCCGCGAGAACGGCTCACCATATTTCTTGCCCGCCTAGCTGCTCCTCCAGACATCCTCGGTAAAAAAAAACAAATTCCCTCTTCCAAACGCGCTTCCTTCCCTACGAACCAGCAAGTTCGCGAAGGGTTCTCTTTTGCGTCCTATTCACCACGCCTTCCGCGCCTCGTTCCCCTTGAGGAAAACAACCGCAACTGAGTCAACCTACCCCTATAAACCCCTACCCCCCGTGGGATTTCCATTAAGTGCCAATACGCGCTTCGCCTTCCCCCTCGCGTAAACCGCCGCTGGCGACGTCTCTACGCTGCTCATAGGTTGAGGGCGCCGACAGCGCTATCGCCCTACCCCGGCAGACAGCCAACCCCTCACCTCACCTCACCTCACCTCACCCGCCATGGGTCTCATCACAGCAACCCTGATCGGCATCTCCCTCTTCGTCACCAGCCCCATCTGGCTGCCGCTGGTGTTGGCTGCCGTGGTGTTCCCCCACTTCGTGCCCTTCGTGCTGGGCGGTCTGGCCGTGCTGACGTCCCCGGTGTGGATTCCGCTGTCCATCATCGCCATCCCGATCATCATCGTCACCAGCCCGATTTGGGGAACCCTGCTGCTGCTGGCCATCATCATCTGACAAGAGAAGAGATAAAAATAAACCAGAGCCGCTGTGAGAGTGTGCGGGTGGCGGTGCCCGTGGGCGGTAGTGCTCGCTGGCGGTTCTGTAGGGGTAATAGTGTGGGGGTGGAGTGGGGTTGTAAGGTGGCAGTGGCGAGTTGGAAGGTGGTGGGGGGAGGGGGGAGGGGGTAGTGCAGTTCACGATGGCGATGTGGGTGATGGTGGAGGGTTGATATGGGTGTGTGGAGGGGGCGGAAGGACGCTTTGCGCTACAGGCATTTGCCGAGGCATCTGAGATTATTTATATATACGAGGCATCATGCAGAAGATGATGGGCGTAAAAAAGGCGGCCTGCTTCCACCGGGCGGAGGCATTCCTAGTTGCTTGAGTGTCTGCTACCGGGATTGACCAGTCCAAGCTCCAGTCGTACGACTCCGTTAGACCCAACCACCACCCGCCTGCTAGCCCCCGGGGCCTGCTGAATCCCGAAATGGCGAGGGACTCGCATAACGTGCCACGCACGACTGGTGAGATGAACTGTTGGGGATTCGGGACCTGGGTGCGGTTCTCCGACCACTCCTCAATATTGTGTTGTTTTCTGGCGACTGTGCAGGCAGCTCTGCTCCGCACGCCAAGATGTGCCTCGGGGTTGTGCCAAGATCCTGTGTGACGATTAATGAGGAGGGAGGAGAGAGGGGAAAGGATGGGCTGGTGCAGTGGCGTGTGTGTATGTGTGTGTATTTGTGTGTGGGGGGGAAACTGTATAACTCTTGAAAGGTGTGGAGGTGGGCCCGGGTTACCGTCATCATGGCTGGTTTGCTGACTGACGTTTTTCGATTATTCTTGTCCTTGTTGCAGAACAGATGAACGCAAACCTCGAAGGGAGGCCTTCCCTCCCCCTCGGGGGGCGATACATTGTGGCCCTGGACGTTTCAGTTTACCGTTGACGTTTTGGACCGGAAAACCCGTTGTGCTATATCCCGTACAAAACACGCGTGGGCCGTACCCATTAAGGAAAGTTACGGCGGTATGATGTAGATGGTCTGACGCAATGTCCGTTTCGATCAGGAGAGAGAGCTGTAAATCGCTGTTGTCGCAACTTTTGTGAGGGTGTCCGTGAATATGTGGCGATTACGAGGCGAGTCCCGTTCCGTTAGGCGGGGACTGTGAGTGTGGTGGTCGACAGGTGGCAGACGGGCGTTACTTGCTAGGGGGGGCCCCCCGGGGAAATATACCCTGTGCCGGGCCGAATAGAAAACGTACTCCACCTTCACCTTCACCACCTACATTAAATCGGCAATCGCAATCACAGTAGTAGTGCATTAGAGATGGCCTTTGCCTAAAGAACCCAACCGTTTGTTCTCGGAGCTGCATGAACATCAACACGCACCCCGCGCGCATAAAACATTGAGACAACTGCTGCTGCTCAGAACCTTATTTTTTCAGGAAAGCAACCAATTACCCGCCAACTAACCAACCAACTAACTATCCAACTAATCCAGCTAACGCGCAATTGAAACGAGGACCGCACGCTGACGGTACCCAAGATAGGTAAGCATACATACATAAGTGCAGCTATCCTATACTACACACCGTACAGTGCCAGTAGTAGGGGGGAACACCACCACGCCGTTAGGCAATTCATCCAGCAGGATGATTCCCCCCCCGGAGGAGGAGGAGGAGGAGGAGAGGGATAGGGCCTCGTAGCCACTGCCGCGCGGCACGAACACAATGGCGGTGAATGGCTCTTTTACTTAGCGCTGTCGCTCTGTCCGCTCGTTCTCGTCTGCTGCTGCTAGGCGACAACATCAACAACAACAACAACAACACAACTACAGTCCTGCCACACGCACAGCCACACACCGTCACACACACACACGTGCATGGACAGACGCCTTTCCGTCGCCCCCGACAGCTCAAGGTGCTCATTCATTCCACAGCGGCACTGCAAAGCAAGCAGAGAGCAGCACCCGACCCAAGAATGATAATGCAATTCGCTGCTGTCTCCTTGCACCTCACCAGCTATTATTATACCTCTTGGATCTTGGATTGTGCTAAAACTGGACAACCTCAAAAGGCAAAACAAGACCGTAGTACGGCACCCCTCTTAATACATTCCGTGATTTATCCTGACTGGGATATACATATATACTCACATCCAACTTTCCGGGACTTTCCAACGTCGCCAAATTAGGAAATGGCTTCTACCGCAACACTGATGCCGATGAGGCGGCAACACCTGCTGGGAAGTCGACGACGAACATTACATTCTTCTAGCATTGATGCGCCACGCTTGGCAACTTTTATTGCAATGAAGAGCGTTTTCGTTTATTGAGCGACTTATGATAAAAAAATCCTCGATGCGCAGTGCAGTGCAGCCTCACACATGCGCGCTGATGCGATGAATCAGGTCGGGGGCCCGAACACCGCCAGAAAGGCCCGTAGAAGGCGAAGAACATGCTTCTGCAACCATGAGGGGTTGCGAGCTGGCTCCAGTAAAACACACACCACACCACACCACACCACACCACACCACACCACGCTCTCCTCCTACGCCTCATCCTCCTGCTGCTGCTGCTGCTGCCGCTTCTGCTGCTGTTCTTCCTCCTCCACCACCACACCCCAGACTCCAACAGCTAGGCCAACATGTGCAAACGCACACAAACCCACAACACACATACGCACACATACGCACACACACAAAACACACACACACACGATTTTCTTTTCCCCTGGTATTCCCCACATCCACCCGCCGTTTCGGGGATGAGGCCCATCACAGGCTGTGGGGTCGCCCTAAAACGCCACCATCCCACACGCGGCAAAGGTAGAGCACTTATCCCGGAGGTCCTCCCTTCGGCGTCAGGTTATAGGTTGGCTTCTTCGCCTCCATCCAGGAGGGTTGTGTGTATGTATGTGTGTTGTTGCGTGTGTGTGTATGTGTGTGTGGCCACTAGCCTCCCCGCCACTGCCCTTGCGACTCCGTCGAGAGCATACAAGACGCACGCAGACATACACACACACAAACACACACACCCCTTCCAACCCCCCAAACTTGCACTCACCCACTCAAATCGCACTTACATATGTACATACATACACGTTGCGATACGACAGATATGCAAAGGCGCGGCATAGTATGTCGCTGCACAGATTCAAATGGATCTCGACAGAGGCCGGGAGAAAACCCTCCCTCAGCAGTACGGGGGTATTAGTTGCACCGGGGGCCCTGCTGGCGGACGGTGGTGTTGAAGACCTGCTAGCCGACCGGGAGTGTGTGTACTTCACACACCATACACACATACATACATACGGTGTACACAAGCACAGACAGCACCGCGATGCGCTCACTGGCCTCACATGCATTCAAAATTGGTTTTTGGCCAAGCCTTGCCCGGCTGTCTTGGCTCGCTAGCGCAAAATCAAATGAAGATTCGCAACGCTTATTATCAATTCTCTCCAAAAAAGGACAAGCACCCATTCCAACAGGTTGTTATTGGTATCAAGGGTTAGCACAAGGGCACAAACCGTCCACCTCTTCCCCTCCCAAGCACCGATTCCGCAGCAGCTCCTCCGTTCAGCTGCTCTGCCGGCGGACATCCCATCCTCCCACTATTATTTAGGTTCTCGGACAAGAGCTTGGACAAGGGGTTCACACGATTATACCTTTTATCTTTATTTAGGACAATGATACTACAGTGATACAATGATAATATAACATAATATAAATATAATATAACAATAACATTGCGAATCAAGTGGCAATGCAAACAGCACGGGGCGCGACTGCGACAAAGATCCTCTCGTCCCTTCGCTTTTCCAAAATCTGCCTTTTTCTTCTACCCGGTCTCAGCTGATTCTCAGCCCGCTCCTGATCGGATACGACAGCGTGTGGATGGATGTGTAGAGCCTCCAAATCAACAGCAACAACAGGAACAGACGGACGTAGAGCCGCGCGCCTGCCCCTGCGCTGTGTTTCGGCCCCCGGTCCGGGGGCCCCCGACGGTGCTCTCGGTCCTTTATCGGGACGAGAGCCGCCCACAGTGTAGCACCCCTTCATCAACAACAAACAGCATCAACAAGAGCAACAACGGAAAAAGTGATAAGCGGATACTTGCCGCCACCCCCACCCACACGGCACCTTGGCACTGCCAAGTGTTCTTCAACATCCTCCTCCTCCTCCACCTCTTGCTCCTCCTGCTCCACCTCCTCCACCTCTTGCTCCTCCTGCTTTTCACGGAACGCCGAGGTGCCGGTGCCCAGTCGATGGCAGTGCAAGGGGGCTTCCCAAAGGGGGACATGTCGCCCTCTTCCCTCCCCGCCCTCCCGATCACCGACGGAGGAAAAGAAAAAACACGCAGAGACGCACTCGCTGGGCCCCTCGCGCCATTCGTCCATATCGTGCCATGGTGCGTCATGGTCGTGTGGTTAGTTCTTTAGTTTTGTTAGGAAAGCACAAAAACATGATCTACATGTGTCGTACACGCACCCTGACTCGTGTCGTGCGGCGTGTGCATGTATACGGCATGTATGTACGTATGTATGTATCATGTATGTACGTGTGTATGTGTGTTACCAAAACCCGTTTGCCGTCTTGAGTGAGCAAAAAGGGCCAACCGGGTAACCGTCCCGACCAATTCAGGGGGGTTCAACCGTTCGGTCAAGAGCAAGATCCGAAACCATATACACATCAACGGAATGTACGTCATCATTCTGGTCCTAACACAACACATACATACATGCATGCATGCATGACGAATGTATGCATGAGGAATGCACATACATATGTATAAATTTACATACATACGTACATGTACGCACATATATTTCGAGCGATGCACCATCATCATCATCATCATCATCATCATGTACTCGCGCTGCGCTTTGGCTTGCGGGATAATACGGCTAGGAGAGGGCCGGGCGCCTCCACCTCCCACCAGGCAGAGATTCACAAGTGACCCGGGGGGTGGAAGGAGCCGCGGGGGGGGGGATTCCAAAGCAAAACACACCCACACGACGCAACACGACGCAACACACCCACGTCGCCTGCCTTCCTTACCGTTGTGTGGCCGCGACAGCCCATCGGCGCATCAGCGCCCCTCGACAAATGAACCTGTTTAAAAACCCTAAACCCCTAAACCCTAAGCCATCTCATATTATTGTTAGCGACTCGCGGCGGCCTGAAGAGGAGGGGACTTGAGGGCGGCGGCGGCAGCATCAGGAGCATGCGAATGCGGATGCTACGTGAGATCTCCTCGGTTAGATCTCTTTTCCCCCCCCCCCGCCCCCCCGGGGCCCCCCCCGCCCTCAGCGATGTGTTTTGATGGCCCTCCCAAGGTTCTGAGCTCCTTAGATGTCAGGGCCGCTTTCCCTCGGATCAAAGCCACTACCACTGCCGTACCCTACCGGCGACGGAGCCCCCCCCGCGGAGGACGACGATGGTGGTGGTGGTGGTCGTCGCCGAGAAGCTCCAACCACGGTCCATATCTCTCCCCCCCTTTCCTCCTCCTCCTCCTCCTCCTCCGACCCTTCCCCGCTCCTCTTGCACACACCCTCGTGCTCAACCAGCTTTCCGCCGTCCGGAAAGACCCGTCTACACTGCCGTACTGTCAGTACCACGCGCACCGTCTCCAATGCCGGCGCCGCTGCCACAACGGCTCCCGACAGCTGCTGCTCCGCCGAGGCTGCCGCCGAGGCTGCCGCCGCCGCCGCCGCCACCATCACCCTCGTTAGCGACGGACGCAAGCTGAAGGCCATCCGCCACCGCCGCCGCCGCCGAAGCCGCCGAAGCCGTACCACCACTGCCACCACCGTCAGAGCCCAGAGCCGCCCGCAGACCCATCATGGAGCTGAAAATGGCGGCTGTGGAGGCGCGACGAGCGCGGTGGGTGCGGAGGGCGCCGGCGGATGACCGCTTCATGGCGGGGGAGCCGGCGGCGCCGCCGACGGCCTCCACAGCCGCGGCGGCGGCAGCTGCTGCCGCTGCCCGGGGGCCGCTGTTGGCCCGCATCCCCATGCCGTACTCCAGCGCCCGCCCGCTTGTCCGCTCCTCGTCCCCGAGCCCCCCACCCACCCAGCGGAAGGTACTCATGACGCCGATGCCCTTCACCTGAGGACGGGAAAGGAGGACGTGAATGTATGATGTGTGAAAGAGGGGGGTGTATCTTCGCCCGTGGCAGCTACCCTGCGAAACCCTGCCTTCCCCGCGGGTATTTCAGGGCACCCTCATCCAGTCACCCTAGTCAACTTCTCAATGGAACGCTCAGGTTCCGCACCCACCACCAGCATCCATCGGAATCTGCCGGGTCGACAGCGGCGCAACTCCATTCCTGGTTGGCTCGCAGGATAACTTTATCCCAGGTCACCACCGTCCATCAACTAGGGGCGCAATGCCTTCCACCATCGGAAGGACTTTGACCCTAATGGGTATCGATCCCGGGATCTCCCGGGGGCAATGGTCGCGCCTTACCAGTAGTGCCAAACCCTATGTATGTATGCATGTACGTATGTGTGTGTTTTTAAGGTCTGAGCCTCGATTAGGGAAATACTGATGGACCCACCTCTATCGCATACATACATACACACACCACCCCCCTACCTGCACCCCCCCCGTGGGCTCCCACTCCTCCTCGGGTAGTAGCGCCCGGGTGGCCGCGCTGACGTGTATGGCCCCCGGGGTGCACGTGCTCTCCATGCGGCTAGCAGTATTCTGACGGGGTGATGAGGGGGGTGGTGGGGGGTGGTGGGGGGTGATGAGGGGTGATGAGGGGTGATGGGGGGTGATGGGGGGTG